AGTCTTGATCAAGTAATGCCTCCAATTCTGCATCTTCGAAAACCTTCTCTCTTCCACCGCTATGCCGGTCTTCGACGTCAAAATCACCGTTCTTGAAGCGTTGAAACCATTCACGACACGTTCTTTCACTAATAGCGGCCTCACCATAAGTATTTGAGAGCATTCGATGAGCCTCAGCCGCAGATTTCTTCATATTGAAGCAGAAAATTAAAACCTCCCGCAAATGACGAGAATTTGGCTCGTAAACTGACATTTTCAATCGAGAATAACTTTATGATGCAGACACAAATCGACTAATGTTTCTATGGGGTTATGTTGACAGATGCCCAAGTTTATTGTACAACGTCTGTGATCTATTTATTTCGACCACCACTTACCGCTAAAGCCATCTATAGGAAAACGGCGAAAGCAAAGTTGTACACCTAATATATACGTATTTGTTCTCCGGTAATCTTTAATCTCTGACTTCTTTAATACCGCAACTTCTAAGGGTCGTTCGACTTTGTAAGTCGATAATTATTGCCGTCTTTAATTGCAACGAATTGCAGCGAATTAAATACGTTTGACTTTCTGTCGGGCGCAATCAAGAAATCAGTCTCCTGCGCTTTCAGTTTCGCTGCTGCGGCGTGCGCGATTACACGGACTGGTTCCAAATCGAGGCGTGGCCCGAAGAGGACCGAGTGCCGGACTCTTGCTGCATGCAACGGGAACGTTACTGCGGCCGACTGGACCCGGAGGGTCGTAACAAGGAGCTCTGGTACAAGGAGGGCTGCGCTACCGCCATCCAGATGTGGCTCGTCACCAGACTCCACGTGGTGGGCACGGTGGGCCTCGTGGTCGCGTTTCTTCAGTTGTTCGGCCAAGTTGCCAGCATGATACTCTTCTGCACGGTCAGGCACAAGAGGTCCTCGCACACGTACAAGAGCTACGACACTACCAATACCTAGAATCTCGATCCGGTCTTGGACGAGACTACCGTCTGAGATCGGTCAAAATACCCTTCGACTCCCGCCGCGCGACGCGCGGGAACGACACGACGAAATCTTTTCGGGATTGTCCTCGCGATTGGGTGCTCCCTCCCCGTAGGAAAAGAGAACTTTCGTCGCGGATCCTTTTAATTGCGCGCCGAATTCGCACGTATTAGAAATACGGAGCGACGTGATGAGAAGACGAAAATTCGTTATGGAATCGTTCATAATCTGCGAGTAGACTATCCTACGAACGTATTTAGGTTCGAAAGGGAGTATGGACTTGAGGGGGGGAGGGGCAAAGTAAGAGTTTTCTATATAGGTAAATAAAAACAACACAGTGAGCTGCACTTGACCAAAAAATTTCCACCGTGTACTAAAACTATGATAGATATTTAATTGACGGATCCGTGAACTTTCTTCCCCATAGATCTAAATCCAGGCAATTATATGTATTTGTACATGTATGTATGTATCTGTTCTCCGGTGATTCCGACTTCTCTAATATCGCATAACTTCTAAAAACCGTTCGACTTTGGAAGTCAATAATTATTGCCGTTCTTAATTGCAACGCTTAAGCGTGAGCGATGCATCATATCTTGGGCCCTCTTAACCAGTATTTATTAGATAGTCATGTAGATAGAGAATCCGGCAGCAGAAAAGTTAATTTATATACGATAATAATTTATGTAATCGACGAGGATCAATGTTACACGATCGACCATTCTATTCCATTTTTCTTTTTTAACGAAACACGTTTGTTGTATTTTTATCATAACTAGGATGACTCTAATAGCTACGTGCTCGATACTCATTCCCGACAAGCGATCAACTTCCACTTTACAGTATCTTGATTAATTGCACGTCGATTTCCGAGAGTTTATAATTAGGAACAGTTATAGACCGAGAGTATAATGCATGATTATGTGATTTTAGTCAAATACTCAATAGAGATCATAGATCATCGAACTATTCCACATAGCACAAAAATATTACTCCAACATTAAAATTAAGAAGTTTTTAATTATGTTGCTAAAGATGGCATGATGCTATTAAAACTTTAAAATGATACTTCCCAGGACTTTTAATAAATCTTAAACCCGAATGTTAATACAAGGTTATACAAGGTTTTTTCGCTTAATTTAAGGTTGACTTGTGGTTAAATTAGTGTCTCTCTTTTTTTATCTTTATCTCAAAGTATAACCACACGGAGAGAATATTGTAGTAAAAATGACAATATAATTTTAGTATTCAATAAATTGATACTATGATGAAAATTATAATAAGACATAATAAAGGTGACCATGAACATAATAAAAATTGCCATAAATGTAATAACATTATCATATTTATGGTCATTTTTATTATGTTTTATTATAATTTTTATAATAGTGCCTGTCTAATCCTGGACTACTAAAATTGTATTGTAATTTTTATTACAATATTTTCTCCATGTAACTTACCATCTTAACTTAACGTTTTAATAGTATTAACGTGGTATTTTTCAGAGGGAATTATTATAATATTGTATTCCCATGCAAAAATTAACTTTACTAAGATATTATTGCAACATTTTTATAATAATAATATAGAATTTGGTGCTATGTGGGATCTTTGATATCGTAAGCATGAATAATTTGTTAAGATTTTGTCTCTATAATATGTATAGGCACGTAAATATATAAATTTAGCAAATTAAAATAAATTGTTATTCTCATATGTTATCTAATGAGGAGAGAACAATCAATATGGGACATGATAAGTTATAATGATGTTGAAGACTGTATACACTGCAGAATCGAAATGTTAAGGCGACAGTGATGTATTATGTATTAAATATATTATTATTATATTGCAAATAATATATTTATATGATAAAAATATTGTTCATGTTCTTTTGCATTGTCCTCGATTTCTTTGTTCAATTATATTTATATATTAATTAATAAATTACTATAATCGCATTGCGCGCTTAGTAAACTCTTGGATCAGGTTGTTACATACACACTTTCAGATCTAATCAAGATCTGAACGTACAATCGCCAGGTTCAAGAAATCATTGAGTAAATTCAGTGGACGGTTATAATAACGATTTAAATTGATCTTTTTACTAGCCAAAGATCTCAATTATACTGTAACCTCAATTTGCTAATAAAAATACCTGCAGCTTGTAGCGAAAATTTTAAAATTGCACTTTGGAATAAAAATTCGATCAACTGAGACTAAAGTATGGCTAACTACCTGATAGTGTCATTTAGTATAAACACTCGCGAAGTGTACGGTTTGAATCTCAGCTAAATAAGGTTCGAATCTTGGCTAAACGACTTGTTATCTTTTTGCAAAGTTTACGTCGTCCTTACATAAAAGTATAACTGATTGATCAGTCATAAATTACTATCGCCGAATAGTTTTATTACTAGTGGCTAATGATTTTGAATATTTAAACTACAGAATTACTACCCAGATGGCACAGAGAATTCTAAAAAAATTCAGTCGTATGTCACCAATTTTAAGTTCATTTTTAGATACAAAAAGAATTCTTTTCACTGAACTGAACTCTGAAAAATTCTTTTTACATCTGAAAATGAACTCAGAATCGGTGACATACGATTGAATTCTTTTTGAATTCTTTTTGAATTCTCTGTGTTATCTGGGTAGTGCTACAAAGTAATTCAGTGATTAGAGCTACAGTAATACATAGTTTCAGTGTACATAATATAGATGTATTATTAGGTTCTTATAATGTTACAAATGTATTATGTTGTAGCAATTTTCTCTATCGGAAAGCACATTAAGGTCCCAGCAGGCCTATTCTATAACTTTTAACGCAAATTTCGTTATCACTAAACTTCGTTGCGTAGCTATTTTGTGATGTAAAATATCTGCGCGTCGGCATATAACGCATGCGTTATCTCATAACGTACGCGTTAACAAGTTATAGAATAGGCCTGCAGAGAATTCAAATAGCACAGAGAATTCAAAAAGAATTAATAAAGAATTCAGTCACCAATTCTGAGTTCATTTTCAGATGCGAAAAGAATTCTTCAGAGTTTAGTCCAATGAAAAGAATTCTTTTTGCATCTAAAAATGAACTCAGAATTGGTGACATACAACTGAAACCTTTTAAAATTCTATGTACTATCTAGGATTACTAAAACGTTGGCTTAAGATGACAAAGTAGTTATATTTTGAGAGATATTCAAATGATACTAATTTCATCACAAGGCAACCTTGAATTAATCGAAAAAAACTTTGTATTAATAACATAAGAGCATGTGTAATTTTGTGCAGCCAATACAACGTTACCTTTGCAAGAAACAATCAGTATTTTGTCCGCAAAAAGTTCGACTCTAGTAAATCGATTCTATACCTTTTAACGACATCGTTGTTATCATAATATTGTTGTTGCGCAGATATAATATATGATAGAAAAGAATTATAAACGTATTTCATGATTATGTTTCGTTTTAGATTCAGAATATCAGTGCTTGAATGAAAAGTTCGGTGCGAGTCATTGGTGGCCTACGTGATATGTTAAATAATAAAATGCGCGATAGGTTAAAGGAACCTTTATTTTCAAGCAGTACACTTTTCGATGGATCAGACTAATTTTTTCATTTTTGTTAACAGTACGACTGAACAACGAATAGCATAGACTTTGTCTCTGTTTATCTGTGAGAAATAACGAACTTTTAGATTTAAATTCTTCCTCTTTACATCTCTGTGAATTACTTACCAGGGTGTGAAAAGTACATTTGGCATTGTCAGTTTAAGAGAATATTGATTTAAGAAATTATCTTTTCAAATTTTCTCAAAAAAGATTTTGCATCTAAATAAAGGCACAAGATTATTTTTTGATACATCAAGAGCATTTATAAAATGCATAATTATAAAATGCGTAATATCCGATTGCGAATGAAAAATTGATGACACTTACCGTCAAAGAACACCTTTATTACTTTCGTAATTATATCACTAGGAAGTAAGAAAAATGTAGAAAAACATTTTTGTATGAAGTTACAAAATGTCGACCAAATTTTTGATATTTCCACGCTCCTTTTTGTGATAATTCCTTCATGATTAGCTTCCTGATTATTGTCGGTTAGAAGATCTATCGCTGTCTATAAAAAAGCATCGAGTTATAAAAAAGTTTTCATTTGTTTAGAAACTTAGAAGAGATAAAGAAAAAGAAATATATTCACTTTACTCAATATCCGATTAAAAATTTATTCCATGGTTCTGATCAGATTGATTCTCATCGATTTATTAATATGATCCTAATTAGTAATAATCGTTATTATTAATAAGGTTTTGCTTGTCACGTTATGTTATATTCTATATAGCAAAGTTATTATTATTATTAATGTTGCTATAATATCACAGTAAATGGAGTCTTTTTGCGTGGTAATGCTGTAGCAATTTTCTCTATCAGGAAACAACACATTAACATTATTAAAACGTTAGCTTAAGATGACAAAGTAGTTATATTTAGAGATATATTGAAAGAATATTAATTTAATTAATTTAATTCACAAGGCAACCATAAGAGAGAGGGAGAGAGAGAGAGAGTTAATTAATCGAGAAAATGTATTAAAGTTCAGGTTTAAAATTTATTAAAGAAATCCCGTAAAGAAACATTTAATGATCATGACAACACGATTATTAAACAATATAATTTAACAATATAATTAAAGCTTTTTAAGTTTAACATTGACGTAATATTTGGGTGCTACATGGAATATACAGAATACGATGAGTGTCACATTTCACGTATTTTACACGTAGATTACACTGAGAGAAAAATATAGTTGCTTTCGGCGTCAACTATACTTTTTTGTGATTTTAACCAGGAAAATAATTAGAAGAATCATCTTTCCAATAACATTTACTAAAACAATGGTTTTTCTAACTATTTTTATCACAAAAGAGTATAGTTGATGCCGAAAGTAACTATATTTTTCTCTCAGTGTAGGTCAAATAGAAATCAAAATTTCTCTATTATTTTGCAAACTACTACGTAAAATTTTTAATTATTAATTAAAGAAGATTAGCGAATGATCGTCAATCGCGATACGGCAAGTGAGTTGTGAAAGCCTGCCATTGTGTGCGTTGTAATTTGTCAGTCTTCTTCAATTAATAACTTAAAATTTTACATTTATGATTGTTTGCGCAATGAATTTTGTGAAGAATTTTGTGTTCACCTAATCTACATGTATACGAGATATGGAACGCTCATCATTAGACACTCTGTACCTAACATCATTTTATATAAAATCATTTTATATAAAACGGATAACTAATTGAAATCAAATTGATCAAGACCATAGGATAAATTTTTAATCGGCTAGATTTACTTCAAATAAACAACTCAGATAGCACAGAGAATTCAAAAAGAATTCAGTCGTATGCCAATTTTTAGTTCATTTTTAGATGCAAAAAGAATCCTTCTCACCGAAATGAACTCTAAAGAATTCTTTTTGTATCTGAAAATGAACTCAGAATTGGTGACATACGACTGAATTCTTTTTGCATTTTTTTTTAATTCTCTGTAGTATCTGGGAACTTACTGAACGCTAAGTATATAATTATGTGTTCCACGATTAAGACTGATTTTGCCACAAGTTGTCATTTTTTAGAACTTGTAAATTTTGATAAAGATTACAAAATTTCAATGACGTTGTACACACGCTTGGCATATAATCAGCCGTTCCATTTTCAGTTATTGCCGCCGTTTTTTCTGACATTACATACAATAATTGCGTGTAATTATATGGAATTCGCATTGCAATTTCGCGAAAATAAGGAGTATACCCACCTTATCGATATCCCTTCTACTTCGAGCACGTGCTGAAACGGTGCTCACGAAGAACAGAATCATCAACAGGTACGCGCGCATCTAGAACCAATTGAAGTCTCGATGTGATCTCGATTCTCTCGCTAAATAAAGATATTGATGCCAGATGCTGTCGAAAATCTGCTTCTGTTAACGGTCGTTCGAGTTGCGTCGAACGATGAGTACGACGTCGATAAAGTCGGTGCAACGTTACAATGTATTTCTTTTACGGTGCCGAGCGATATTTATCTATTTCCTCTACTGTGCTTGACCGCGGGCCGTTAATTATTTTCATAGCCATTGCGCGACAATCTGCATATCGCCGCCTGAATGTCTTTTTCTGCCCCGTAAACATACGTGCATTCCGCTGTTCGACCTCGGTGTACGCTCGAACTTTTATGTATCGGCGATGAGTCAATGTTAATGTCGACCTATGCGTCATTATGTGCGACAGATATACGACGATTTCGATGGCGTTATCAGGACTAATGATTATGCACGTTGCGATATCTGAGTTCTGACGATACCTGGTAATTTTTCCTACATGCTTACTTTACGTGCAAACACACACAAATATAATGCAAGACAAGCACTTATTTTGGGATTTTACAATAATTATGAAGGTGACCTTTGCATCATTTTCACAATTTTTCTATTCGGCAATAATAGGTTCTCCATACACAAATAGAAGAACATTCTTGTCTTGAAAATATCTCTATTTTTGGCATATAAATTGCAGAAAAAAGAAAACATTTGAAACATCTGAGTTGGCGCGCGAATTGTGTGTAAACATTATTCATTACATTGTATTCTAAATAGTATTATATCTTCTGTCTGTATTTTTAACGCTAAATATTAGTCAGAATAACATTGTGTGTATATGTGTGTGTATGCGCGCAGCGGGTGCGTAAATGCGTGCGTGTATGTGTGTGTGTGTGTGTGTGTGCGAGAGAGAGAGAGAATTAAAACTACATTTCCGTCCGATCACGCGTTCTCGAGTAATAAGACCCGAAAAATTGCCAAGTGACAGAAAAGTAAGATTCTAGGTGTACGATAAAAAAATTTGAAACGCGTGATATTATTCTCCTATTCAAATAAGTCATCACGGTGCAACCGTATTCCCATCCGATCACGTGTTCTCAAGTAATAAGCCCCGAAAGATTGTCAAGGTACAGAAAGATGACAGAAAGGTGTGTGAAAAAAAATTTGAAACATATCCCACATAGCAGAAGTGTCCAAAATATATCATAAGGATATCCTAAAGATATATTTGGAACATGCGATATCTTCAAGATATCCCTATGATGTATTTGGGACATTCTTGCTGTGTGGGATGATATTATTTTCCTATCCAAATAAGTCATCGACATGCTAACTGTATTTTCGTCCGATCACGCGTTCTCGAGTAATAACCCATATAGCACAAATCTTTAAAAGACTTCTTAAAGAATTTCAAAAGTGTTCTGGCGGACTTGGGAACTCTTTTGGAACTCTTTAAGAAGTCTTTTAGAGATTTATGCTATATGGGAAGCCCCGAAAGACTTAGGTGACTAAAAAGTGAGATTCCAGGTGTGCGAGAAAAAAATTTGAAACGCATGATATTATTCTCCTACCAAAATAAGTCGTCACGGTTGTAACCGCATTCCCGTCCAATCATGCGTTCGCGAGTAATAAAAGAGTAGAGTGACATTAATGTTGCGTTCGGAAACACACACTGTGTGCACGAGTGTATGAAGTTGGCACCCCACTTTTTGAAATTTATAATTTTGAAAGTTGTTCCAGATTGTTCTGACTTTGTACCACATTGTTCCAAAGTGATATTGCTTCATTCGAAACGGTTTTCGAATAAAACAAAAAAAATTATTTTTTGAGCTGGCACCCCACCTTTCGAAAATCGAACATCCTGATACCGCAATAGATTGTTCTAGTTGTTCCAAACATTGTTTCAAAAGGACAATAACATAAATAACATGATACATAAACCATTTTCTTCTCTTTCTGTTTCATTAAAATATTACAATTAATTACTTCCCTGTCTGCATAGACGTCTCAAGAACGTTACAAGCACATTCCCAATAAAAAATTTTTCATATATAATTATATAAAATTATATATAATTATATATTATTATGTATCAAATTTGTCCATTCATGTTCATACATTCTACTTATATATATAATTATATATAATTATGTATAATTATATATCCCACACAGCACGTGATATATTATATAATATCACAGTAATATTTCAATAATATTTTTGCGATATTACAATATTACGGAAATATTACTGTGATATTATATAATATTACGTGCTGTGTGGGATATAAATTCATATATAATTTTACATAATTACGCATAAATTTATATGTAATTATACATATTGTTATACATAATTGTGCATAATTATATATAATTTTATATGATTATATATAATTATACATAATTATGTATGGACAAATTTTATATAAAATTTTGCATGAAAAATTTTTCATCGGGTTACGACATTATTACGTCTAGCGACGTGCTCGCCACGTCCGGTGCTGTCAGGGTTGTAGATATGGGTTTTGCAATACCTTTATTAAACGTTACACGTCAAAAATGCACGAGTACTGTTGCATGTTTTAGTGAGAACCTTATTAATATTGTTTATGGTCACAGTCCTATTTATATATCAATTGTTTAATATGTATATAAAACAATATGTTCCCAGAAAATTGGCTTGATTATTATGTCGCTTTCCCTTTAATTTCGGTTGCTAAGCAATTGTAGCGCAGCGCTACTGCTGTTCACGGAGTTCACTATCGCTATCGCGCTATTGACTTCGGTTACTTTCCAACAAGAGATACAAGTCGACACAAGTATCATCCTATCTTTGTTACTCACTAAATGTGGAACAAAGATAGAATGATGTTTGTGTCGGGAGCGTCCCGATTGACCACGGTACGATTGGACACAACCAACCGATGAAAAGAATTATCTAGTGAATTACTAGGTCGAACCAATCATTACAATCTGTATCGTGGTCAATCGGGTCCCACCCGTTTGTGTCGACTTGTGTCTCTTGTTGGAAAGCAACTTTCGTGAACAGTCCTTGGTAGCGTTTGCGTTGGTAGCGCGATAGTGAACTTCGTGAACACACCTTTTGTTTAATATATTTTATTTTCCCATTGGCGGATACGATCTATCTGACGCATGCGCATAACGTTCATAATGCAGGATTCACACCGTGTCCGATGTCCGACGTACGACTTCCGATATCCAATAGGAGAACAGCTTTCTATTATAGAATTCAATTCTCCATTGGAAAGCTATTCTTATACATCTTATATCGGACATCGTACGTCGGACATCGGACACGTGTGAATCCTGCATAATACACTCAAAAAGAGAGAGAATTATATATACTCCCGCACCGTGGTTCTGGGGCTGGACTTCTCTCTCCTTTAGCAATATAGGGCGCGGTCCGTAACCGCTACAAATGCTGCGCAACGTTTCTTTTGTTCTATTACTCGGATTCGAATGAAGAAAGAGTAATTTAACAGTATTTTTATTTAATTTATTTAATTTTTCAGTATTTTTAATACTGAAAATATGTAATTATCAATGATTCTTAGTATGATATTTCTATAAGGGTCCTGTACACAGAACGCGGTAATGCTTGCCGCGTGGCGGAAGTCCGCGCGACAGCCAATCAATATGTTGTTTTTCCGTAAGAGCTAGAAGGTTATTACGGAAAGCAACATATTGATTAGCTGTTGCGCGAACTTCCGTCGCGTGACAAGCATTACCGCGTCCTGTGTGCAGGAGCCATTAGTCATTTAGTTATCTGCACAGATTACTCGAGTTTTCTGCACATAAAACTTCACGCATAAAACGTGAGGAATTATGCGTACCCAACCGTGATGAATACCGGCTTTATTGTTGAAGGCTCATAATTCCAATATATGGTGACGTGATTATGACAACCAATCAGAATAAAGTAATCGATAAATAAAACATTCTGATTGGTTGACTCTTCTGTTCATGACCACATTTACGTAATTATAGAATAGCCTTTATGCGCCAGTTTATAAACAAAGTTCAATTAACATTCACTTTCCCCGGCGCTAAGCAAAGACTGACGTTATAAGTAGTGGGGATTAAAAGAAGTGACTACACAGTTTTCGATGGGTGTTATGTAATTCTTGGAACGTTGACGTATCAGACAATTTCATCTGTGTAAAACGGTATATGTTTTATGGTGTATATTGTGTGATAGTAAATTATACAATATTGATGTCGATTTATATGTTGCCGGTTTATGTGTTACGACGGAAAACTATTTAAATTAAATATTAACAACTAACAGGTCACAATCGCTAAAGAAATATATTCATAATTGATATAAAGTATATAATATAATTTTGAATTTGAAGTAATCTATCAATTCTCTGTGTTATTATTTACTATGTCGTTAATATATATCGTTTAAGTATTAATTATGTTTTCTTAATATTTAATATCTAAGACAATTTAATATTTAATGCCTAATATTTGTTATCTAATGTCTAATATTATCTAATATTTAATACAATTTAATATTTAATGCCTAATATTTATTATCTAATGTCTAATATTATGTTTAATGTGTAACTTTGTATCTAAAGAAAACTACTTTAATAAAGATAGTTTTTTACTATTAATAATTATGCTTTTTATGTAAAATTTAATACTAATCAGAAATTTTTGTTAAAAAAATTTAAAAAATTACAAGTCACAAAACATATTATTAGATCCATTTAGAGATTGCTGGAAAATGGCCAACAACCGTTTGGATATAATAGTATTTGGTGCAACTGGATTCACTGGACAATATGCAGTAAAATATGCAGCCCACTTCTGTAAAGAATGGCAGTTGAAGTTTGGTATTGCTGGTCGTAGGAAGGAAGCTTTAGAAGCTGTGCTTAAAGAGTTTGCTCCAGATGCTGGTAAAATCAAATTAATGCTATATTCTGTTTTAAGAATTTGATGTTAAGATTATTTTGTCACAATTGTCTTCATAGACAATATAATAGTAATAATCTACTTTTTATATTGTTAAGAAATACTTCTTGATTGTAACATATATGTTATTTTCCAGAGAATGTACCCATTATCTTGGCTGATGTTAATGATGAGACATCTCTGAAGAAAATGACAGAAAGTACAAAAGTACTTGTCAATTGTTGCGGTCCATATAGATTGTATGGAGAACCAGTTGTCAAAACCTGCATTGCTACTCACACTCATCATGTTGATGTCTCTGGTGAACCATGGGTATCTCAACACATCTTTAAAATTATTTGCATTAATATTATTGTTCATGTGTTTTTTATTTGGATAAACACCATAATGATTGCTTATTTGTCTGTTATTTTCAATACTTTGCAGTTTATTGAGAGTATGCAGTTGTTGTATAATAAGGCGGCACAAGAAGCTGGTGTTTACATAGTAAGCGCTTGTGGCTACGATAGTATTCCAGTTGATTTAGGAATCATTTTTGCACAAAGAAAATTTGGAGGAGAAATTAATAGCGTTGAAACATATGTAGAATTTAAAGGACCCAAGACAGGTCCTATGATTAATTATGGAACTTGGGAGTCTGCGGTGTATGGTCTAGCCCAGTGGAATGAACTAAGAGGGCTACGTGCAAAATTATACCCTAAAAAATTACCCGAATTTACACCGAAGTTGGAAAGCAGGTATCTTTTTAAGCATACAATTCACAGTTACAATTTCTTGTTTTTTTGTATGTGGACCTATCTTTTAAAAAGCATATAGAAGAATATGCAAATGCTATGAACAACATAGATACACATGTAACAAGGCGCGATAATAGGTGATATTATCTTTTACTGCAAGAATAACTTTAGCAAATTACGAAGATATAGAGATATCGATCGGAATGCAATATCTGTTATTCCTGCATTTTCTACAAATTCGTTTCTTTTCAGGGGTATGATGCACAAAAGTGATATTGTCAAAGGTTGGTCAACGCTGTTTTTAGGCAGTGATCGTTCTGTAGCCATGTGTACACAGCGATTTTTGTATGAAAAATACAACGAAAGACCAGCTCAAGTTCGTACTTACTTAAGATTGGAGTAAGTACGAAGATATTGACAGAAATTCTGTAAATGTGTTTAAAATGATTTTTCTTAACATTGTCATTTATCACTAGGTCCTTCTTTACTCTCATGACATTTTTTATTGTTGGTATGATCTTTTGGTTAATGGTTCGCACGTCGTTTACTCGTAAATTACTGTTGAAAGTATGTATAAGTATATATTTGCGCAGTTCGAATTACGTTTCTCATACGAAGACTATACTAACCGAACGTAATGTTTGCAGTATCCGACTCTATTTTCTGGTGGCGCCGTAGGACACGGGAATATGACACACAAATCGGAGAGTGCACGATCCTCTATAACATTTAGAGCCCTCGGATGGAGCGAAAAATTGGCCAATCCTACCGACAAGCACACAGATCCACCTAACAAGGAATTGATTACAAAATTAAACGATGTTGTTGATCCAGCATATCGTGTAACTTGTACGACGTTGGTGTTATCAGCGATTATGATTCTTAAGGAGGCTGATAAAATGCCAGACAAGTAAGCGGTTACTAATATGTGTAATACTCTAATCTATTACTATAATATTTAGAAAGAGAACATTAAATAATATACATATATATGTAATTAGAAGATGCTTATATTAATCAATTTTGAATATCGTTTTATTTATATTTATTTATATTTTTTACGTCTTTATAGTGGCGGTGTGCTTTCTCCTGGTGCTGCTTTCGGGAAAACGTCTCTGATCGAGGAAATGGACAAAAACGACATTAAATTCGAGGTGATAAAGTGCATCGAGAAATAAAAATATCAGCTTTCTCGTATATAATCGTCGGGATTTTTCTACAAGAAATTTTATTAATAATTTACAAGGAATTTTACTAATAGGTTTTATGTTTGGTTGTGATATTAACACTTGTAATTCTTATGAACGTAATTCTTTTATGGTATATTTTATATTTTTTGGAAATGATAATTAGGACTTTATATTTGCACAATATTTAAACTAAATAATTTTCATCGACCGTAATCTGAGTCATCTTTATGTGGATTTCTGAAATCTATCAGTTTTAGTTGTGTATAATGCAGCTTGCTTTTGGCTTTATAACAAAAATCGAATACAACAATACAATAGCCAAAACTGATAAAAATTTAAGGAATCCACATAAAGATGATCTATATTATGGTCATTTATATTATAAAAATTATTTAAAGTTAAATGTTAATTACTTTATATATAAGAAATGAGAAAAAGATGTGATTATATAGAGTGTGGATGCATACCAAAATGTATACCAAAGTGTATACCAAGTGTATACCAAAATACCTCTTTTTATCAAAGTTGTCTTCTTATTTGAAAAGAATTATTATTTTGTATAACTGTAAATTAATATTAGTACTTTTAATTAATATTAGTACTTTGCAACAAACTTATTAACATAAACTACTACTACCAAAGTAAATTGCTTACGCTTACACGATATAATTATTTTTTCGTAAAAATAAACGTTTGAAGCAGTATATGTGTTAAAGAGTACTATATATTTCACGAGACTGAAAAAGTATTCCGTTTGTTTCCACAATATTCACATCCTTTTAAAGATTCATAAACAATCTGGAAATCTTTCACGATCCTTTTCCCATTTTCACAATAATGTGATTCGCGACAAATCCGACTACTTTTTAAAACGATATTCCTTGTTAGTATTGCCTCCTTGTTTATACATATCGTTTCGCCTTATCTTAAATTTATAATATATGATAATCTTACCGTATATTATACTATACTAATCTTATCGTATATTATACTACAATAATTAATATACGATAATTTATATCGAACACTTGGTCACGATATTTTGCCGAAGAAGCAACACGCACCTCTCGTCGTGCGGTGCGATGCGTAATTATGCGGTTTCTTCTGGCCGACTTTCCTTCATCGCTCGCTAATACGAGGAAGGAAAGTGAATTGACGTCTACACTGTAGCGGTAGAAATCTTAAAACTGCTGTTTAGCCTGCAGGCTTGTATAGCCAATATACTGATTCAACGCGCCTACGTCACGCAAGGGGATTCCACGTGCGTGAAATCCCTTCTCGGGAGAAATTATATACTCGATTTGCGTGGCAAGATCGTAAAGGTACACGAGGCGCAAGTTACTCATTGCAATCGCTGATCGTGCGAGACGTAATTTATTCGACTTGTTGCTCTCGTTCTCGCAGAGAACCGCGTTCGTCACAGAAAAAGCTTCTATAGCGCAACGAAGCGCATCGGCCGTAAACGCGCGGTTTACGTACATAATATATATCAAAGCTTATATTTTTTATATCTGAAGAATTTCAAGTTGAGAACTGGTAGAAAAACGTTCTTTATAGTAATCACTCATTTTTCCAAGAAGTTTTCAGTTTCAAAGATACTTTCTCCGTTTTCTTTATAGCTTCTCGATTTTAGTTGTTTTTTATTTCATGGATTCTTAATTGTTTTACAGGTCCGCGAAGATACAATTTTTAATTCTTTGGAGTGTTAATTTAGAAACTGTGACGTGTCCTTCTTACGTTTATCGTGATCACTTGCCTTGCTATATATTCTCTTATACTAAATGGCAAAAAGTAAACGAAGGCAGGAACAAACTGACAAGAAATATCGAGGTCGATTTTGATGAGCGTTTTCACTATCGAGAGTGACAACAGTTCCAGAGTGGCTTTCTGTAGTATAACCAATATTATTCGGCCTTGCATTAAGCAATGTATGACTACGTAGCACAGTTACGCAGGAGTCGTGTGTCACCTACTGTATCTTTCACGCATTAAATCAGATTCTCCTGTTCATTACCGCGCTTCAGTGTTGAGTTACCGTGGAAATATTCGCGAATTTTTTTTTACTACAACATGAAATGTCATCGCGTGTTTATTCTTCGTAGAAATATAAAATTCCGATATATCACCTGCAATGTATCAGTAGCAATTTTTTTGCTACTTATTGTTACGTTTAGTTCTCCAACGCCGTTTTCCTCTCGATGATTAAAAGGCTGCTATAGTTTTTTTTTTTTCTACGCGCACGCGCGTGCGACGGTTTTATGTAACTTTGTAACACGCTTTATTATTTCCTTCGAAGGTCTACCAGTTGCAAATGGGCAAAAACTGATCTCAAGTACTTTAGAAATCAGTATGTATTTCCGGTAGACAATATCAGCCGCATAATTAATACCCTACGATTTTTATGTCAATGCGAGGTCGCACAAAATAGATTAACATACACACATATAAGCTGATAAGATCTTTTTTTCTCTTCCTGATAATTGATATGTTACACAGGAATGTTGATATGTCGCTTCCCACATAGCACAGAAGTTTCAGAAAGGTTTCAAAAACCTTGACACCTTTCTGAAATCTTTCTGAAATCTATTTGAAATTTTTATGTTGTATGGATTATGATGATATCATAATAGAAATGAGAATTGTTTGAGAGAATTTTTCTGTATGTTTGGAGTATATGGCGAGATTGACAGTAAAAATCTATATCAGGAATTAATAAGATCAGTCTAACTCGCAAAGTAGCACTTTGAAATTGCACCAGTTGCAAATGGGCAAAAACTGATCTCAAGTACTTTAGAAATCAGTATGTATTTCCGGTAGACAATATCAGCCGCATAATTAATACCCTACGATTTTTATGTCAATGCGAGGTCGCACAAAATAGATTAACATACACACATATAAGCTGATAAGATCTTTTTTTCTCTTCCTGATAATTGATATGTTACACAGGAATGTTGATATGTCGCTTCCCACATAGCACAGAAGTTTCAGAAAGATTTCAAAAACCTTGACACCTTTCTGAAATCTTTCTGAAATCTATTTGAAATTTTTATGTTGTATGGATTATGATGATATCATAATAGAAATGAGAATTGTTTGAGAGAATTTTTCTGTATGTTTGGAGTATATGGCGAGATTGACAGTAAAAATCTATATCAGGAATTAATAAGATCAGTCTAACTCGCAAAGTAGCACTTTGAAATTGCACCAGTTGCAAATGGGCAAAAACTGATCTCAAGTACTTTAGAAATCAGTATGTATTTCCGGTAGACAATATCAGCCGCATAATTAATACCCTACGATTTTTATGTCAATGCGAGGTCGCACAAAATAGATTAACATACACACATATAAGCTGATAAGATCTTTTTTTCTCTTCCTGATAATTGATATGTTACACAGGAATGTTGATATGTCGCTTCCCACATAGCACAGAAGTTTCAGAAAGATTTCAAAAACCTTGACACCTTTCTGAAATCTTTCTGAAATCTATTTGAAATTTTTATGTTGTATGGATTATGATGATATCATAATAGAAATGAGAATTGTTTGAGAGAATTTTTCTGTATGTTTGGAGTATATGGCGAGATTGACAGTAAAAATCTATATCAGGAATTAATAAGATCAGTCTAACTCGCAAAGTAGCACTTTGAAATTGCACCAGTTGCAAATGGGCAAAAACTGATCTCAAGTACTTTAGAAATCAGTATGTATTTCCGGTAGACAATATCAGCCGCATAATTAATACCCTACGATTTTTATGTCAATGCGAGGTCGCACAAAATAGATTAACATACACACATATAAGCTGATAAGATCTTTTTTTCTCTTCCTGATAATTGATATGTTACACAGGAATGTTGATATGTCGCTTCCCACATAGCACAGAAGTTTCAGAAAGATTTCAAAAACCTTGACACCTTTCTGAAATCTTTCTGAAATCTATTTGAAATTTTTATGTTGTATGGATTATGATGATATCATAATAGAAATGAGAATTGTTTGAGAGAATTTTTCTGTATGTTTGGAGTATATGGCGAGATTGACAGTAAAAATCTATATCAGGAATTAATAAGATCAGTCTAACTCGCAAAGTAGCACTTTGAAATTGCACCAGTTGCAAATGGGCAAAAACTGATCTCAAGTACTTTAGAAATCAGTATGTATTTCCGGTAGACAATATCAGCCGCATAATTAATACCCTACGATTTTTATGTCAATGCGAGGTCGCACAAAATAGATTAACATACACACATATAAGCTGATAAGATCTTTTTTTCTCTTCCTGATAATTGATATGTTACACAGGAATGTTGATATGTCGCTTCCCACATAGCACAGAAGTTTCAGAAAGATTTCAAAAACCTTGACACCTTTCTGAAATCTTTCTGAAATCTATTTGAAATTTTTATGTTGTATGGATTATGATGATATCATAATAGAAATGAGAATTGTTTGAGAGAATTTTTCTGTATGTTTGGAGTATATGGCGAGATTGACAGTAAAAATCTATATCAGGAATTAATAAGATCAGTCTAACTCGCAAAGTAGCACTTTGAAATTGCACCAGTTGCAAATGGGCAAAAACTGATCTCAAGTACTTTAGAAATCAGTATGTATTTCCGGTAGACAATATCAGCCGCATAATTAATACCCTACGATTTTTATGTCAATGCGAGGTCGCACAAAATAGATTAACATACACACATATAAGCTGATAAGATCTTTTTTTCTCTTCCTGATAATTGATATGTTACACAGGAATGTTGATATGTCGCTTCCCACATAGCACAGAAGTTTCAGAAAGATTTCAAAAACCTTGACACCTTTCTGAAATCTTTCTGAAATCTATTTGAAATTTTTATGTTGTATGGATTATGATGATATCATAATAGAAATGAGAATTGTTTGAGAGAATTTTTCTGTATGTTTGGAGTATATGGCGAGATTGACAGTAAAAATCTATATCAGGAATTAATAAGATCAGTCTAACTCGCAAAGTAGCACTTTGAAATTGCACCAGTTGCAAATGGGCAAAAACTGATCTCAAGTACTTTAGAAATCAGTATGTATTTCCGGTAGACAATATCAGCCGCATAATTAATACCCTACGATTTTTATGTCAATGCGAGGTCGCACAAAATAGATTAACATACACACATATAAGCTGATAAGATCTTTTTTTCTCTTCCTGATAATTGATATGTTACACAGGAATGTTGATATGTCGCTTCCCACATAGCACAGAAGTTTCAGAAAGATTTCAAAAACCTTGACACCTTTCTGAAATCTTTCTGAAATCTATTTGAAATTTTTATGTTGTATGGATTATGATGATATCATAATAGAAATGAGAATTGTTTGAGAGAATTTTTCTGTATGTTTGGAGTATATGGCGAGATTGACAGTAAAAATCTATATCAGGAATTAATAAGATCAGTCTAACTCGCAAAGTAGCACTTTGAAATTGCACCAGTTGCAAATGGGCAAAAACTGATCTCAAGTACTTTAGAAATCAGTATGTATTTCCGGTAGACAATATCAGCCGCATAATTAATACCCTACGATTTTTATGTCAATGCGAGGTCGCACAAAATAGATTAACATACACACATATAAGCTGATAAGATCTTTTTTTCTCTTCCTGATAATTGATATGTTACACAGGAATGTTGATATGTCGCTTCCCACATAGCACAGAAGTTTCAGAAAGATTTCAAAAACCTTGACACCTTTCTGAAATCTTTCTGAAATCTATTTGAAATTTTTATGTTGTATGGATTATGATGATATCATAATAGAAATGAGAATTGTTTGAGAGAATTTTTCTGTATGTTTGGAGTATATGGCGAGATTGACAGTAAAAATCTATATCAGGAATTAATAAGATCAGTCTAACTCGCAAAGTAGCACTTTGAAATTTTATTTCTTTCGAGTGACTGTTGAGTTTAATGAACAACACGTGTCGCACGTACAGGTGTGACCTTAGAACTTCTCTATATGGAATTCTTATAGAATTCCTCCATATAGAACTTCTTTATATGGTCGTAAAAAGTAATGATTCCGCTAAAGTAAACATTACCTGTTAAAAAAATAAACATATCCTATTAAAAAGACGATTTATTGCAAGATTAAATGATCTGCAAACGTGAATTTCGCTACAATTATCGCCGTGATGTACAGATAATCAGCAAATACAGCTAATGCCTCGTAATTGTGTTAAGTAATTGCGTTAAGTGTTACGTCAATGTTGATTGTGTTACAAAATTTCAGTCTCTTATAACTCATAGAGATTAACTTGACATTTCATCGAGAAAAACGTTCTACGTTCAAATTGTTTCTGAAATGTATAAGTGGATGGATAGTCTGGAGTATATAAACATACGAAGAGTATATGAACATGATCTATAGAATACATATGGTGTGCGCGCGTGTGTGTGTGTGTATCTATCGATGTAATCATCAAGCATTACGCGTGTGTGGGGGTTGAAAGTCGCGAGACGAAGAAAGGGATAAGCGACCGAAGTAAGTGGTGCGCTTACGCTTCCTCGTGAATAAAAAGGAAAACCGTGCGTAAAAGAACCGGTTGTTTAACGTTGGGATTCTCCGTGACGTAGGTACTTTTCGTGCCGATCGGGTCTTTCGCAAAAGACCATTTTACCTCGTACTTCTCTTCCTCTCTGACCTCTTTATCCTCTTTTTGTCCGCATACAAGCGAATACCGGTGGATTTACACGCGTAATGCACACGTCATTCGGGTAAAAAGCGGCGATCACGACTCCGGTATATCTGATATCGTTACGTCCTAACTCGCATTCATATGTTGCAGGCCAAGGATTCTCACTCACGTAGAAGTTGCCTCACACATTGTGAAGGGAATGTCAAGTTGAGGCATTTCGCGGTAATCGAAGCAAGGAAGAATCTGAGATTCAGTTCCCTGAGGATATTTCTTAAGAAGATCTCGAGATACTCGTGGTATTCCCTGGAATTAAGGCGACCTGATATCAGTGGACTCGTTCCAGTATTTCCCATGATTTCCGAAACTCCTCGGCTTACTTATCAAATGTTAGTATCCCGCTAATAATCCCATTAGTGCGACCAATTAATGGAGAAAGAGGAAAAACATCATTCTTATATTTGTGATAAAACAGACATAATTAAGCTCGCAAACTATTCCATTAATATTTACGCAGACTTATTCACAAGGAATATAATATAAAGTAAATCGATTTGTAGGATACGTAGAATTGCGGTGGCCTAAGAACAAAGAGGAGAATAATCCTATTAAAAGCCTGGACGTGAACCGACGACCGATTAATCCCGAGTCCTGCGAAAGCACCTTCTCACTGTCAATCATCATCGAGTGCCGAACGCGAGCGTGCGACATGTGAAGAAAGAAAGGGTCGAGCAACCAGGAAGAATCGATCTAGAGAGTGATGTCTCGACGACAGGACGCTCTGCTCTGAAATCGAGAGTCATCACCTTTTCGGAGCAGGTACGTTTCGAAATCTTATCCTCTGATAACTCAGAATAAGTGCAGAAATACGCGTCTGATCAATCAGGCCGCTTGCGCAACGCTTAGGTCCAGATATTCGCAAGTATTGACTAACGATTAACATCAAAGTCGACGTATTCTGAGTTCTCTTTTAACGATAAATGAGCCTCTAAAAGTGACTCACAGCCAATCAGAAAGCTTGTAAGTCACTTTTAGAGGCTCATTTATCGTTAAAAAGAGAACTCAGAATACAGGCCGATGTCTTTAGGAGCCGGCGATTACATCAGGACAGAAGACACATTCATATCAAGCTGCGATGACGCCGATTTGCAGAAAACGTGCACCTGATTGACGAAGAACAACATTCGAATTAACAGCCGGGCTCTATCACGTTCCAGCATGCCAGTATAGTCCAGGATCAGATCGCGATTAACGTCAACAGACGTCAGCGAGATCGGCCGTAAGTGGCGTAAAATTAACGGGAGAGCCGCGCGAAATGGACAGAGAGGAAGAAAGAGGGAGGGACGAGCGCATATATACGGTTTCGGAAGGACTACGGGTGACGTTTGCGCTCTCGCCGCCACGCCGTGATTCCCGTTCGAACCGACCTCGACTCGCGGTGGTGGTCCACGCCGATTCGCGTCAGTCGCGCTCCGCCCGTCATCCCAGCAGCATCGTCCTCGCGACTCCTCCGCGCGTTCGCCACGCACGCACGCACGCGGTGCCGGCTCACTCCTCGTCGCCGTTTCTCTTCGTTCTCACGTGCTCTCCTCAACGTCGTCTTCGGCGTTGTCGATACGTGCGCCGCTTTAAAAATCTTCACGCAGCCCTCGCCGTGGTTTATGTCGGGACGAGCATTCGTTCCCTCCGCACAAGTTGTGTCAGAGTAAGTTCGATCAGGTGGAAAAAACGCAGGAAGAGCGTCGGATGCGAAGCTCCCGAAGGTTGCCGTGTAATTAAACTTATGATCAAAAGGAGGAAATGAAGACAAGTAAGAGCCAGCTGGACTTGAAGCGATTACGCGTTACAAAATAGTTTGAGAGTAATTTACGTTTAACGTCAAGCGTTTTGGTCCTCAATTTTTCGGCCTTTTTCAACGAGATACAAAAAGAAAGGGAGTCGAATAATAACTATTTATACATTTTTTAACTTCCAAACTACTTTGTAATATATTATGACTTCAGTCATCAACCAGAATCAGCTCTTACTTACTTTTATTGTCTTTCTTTTGTCTTCTTTTGTCTTTGTAAAATTAGCTTCATCGTAAAAACAAGTCTGTTGCGAATTTCGGGATTGTTCGTCTCTTATAAGAAATATCGGGCAAAATTGTATCTTTACGCGCGCGCGCGCGCCTTGCGAAATCGCCGGTTCTTCTGTGACGCGACGAATGCCGAGCGTTAAACTGTTGAGTTGCGGATAAAATGGAGAGCGCACAATTTGTAGTGTCGCTTTTATCTTTTTTTTTACACGTTGTTTAATATTCATTTCTCTAATGACAACGGCGCGTTCGACGGCACAACATTTGCATGGAATTGTTTTGCATCTGACACTCTGACATTTGAAGTCGTTCTATCATTTCGTGAATTCGCGGCTTGTCCCGTTCGTTCTCACGACATATTGTGTATCGATTTCTCTAGACGACAGTAAGAAAACCCGGAGATCCTGCCGGTCTCTCGCGAATCGGAAACAAAAGTGTTAAGATCGACAGTCATGAACGGGATATCGAGTCAGTGTGCCAAGCTGAAGATGTACGACGGCGAGGATGAAAAAGGAATAATGATCAAAAAGCCCGGGCCGCTGAGGACCGTTTCCTGGAGTGAGAACGTCGAGGAGGCCGAACTGGACATCCCCGGGACGCCTAGAACCCCGCGCACATCTACGACACCAGGTGATATTCCGTGGATCGCTCGCGAGAAAAAGAGAAAACATTTTCGCAAAGAAATTGTTTTGCTGCATCTTGTTTGTGTTTAAATTGATTTCGACACGATTAATCGATTTGGATACCTACACATTTTATTGACATTCACGTTCTGTGGCTGGTGTTTTACTTTTTACAGAAAACTAGACGTTGAAGAATATATTATTTTGTGTGTTTACGTTGGTAAAGTCGTTTCATCCGGACGACTTTTGCTTTACGTTTTTGACTCGGCTGCTTAACGTTACTGATTGCCGTCGACGTAATGCTCTTTCATATCGCATCATAATGCGTTAAACTTAAATAGATCTCATGAAATTGTCGTGGTTTATTTACGAATTGACCGGCACTAGATATAAAATACTGATATTTACGACACGTTGCCTCGATTATCAACAAGCATAAGGAAATATACTCTCCACTTATATGTTCTTGTTATCAAAAGCTCACGTCAGAAAACCAGTTTTGAAAATCATCAAATCGAAGTCTCTTAGTTGAGACAAATTAAGTTAATCAAGCCAAATCTCCCGGCAGCCTCTTTATTATTCTTGAATCGTTAACGTTGCATCAGTCGTTACGCAGCGTAATTTTCCGTCGTGTGTGCGCTCCTTCGTTTTAGAAATATAAAAATGCATACAATCAAGGAGCGGCGGATCGTTATGTCTAATTAATATCAGCATTTGGTTTGGAAAATATATCTTCACTTGCGTCACAAGCCGAAGCTTATGTTTTGCAAAGCCGTTTTGTAAAGTCGTCGACAATAGGAGTATCGAATATCAGAACGAGTCTCTTTCGTTGGTACACGTCAAACTTTCGTGAATGATCATCGGAACGCTCGTGTGACCGCATTAATCACCCGACACTCATTTCGAGACGATAACAGGCACGAGTATCACGTCGGTATACAGTTACAGCGATGCGTAACCGTGCATTACGAAAGTACATGATAAAGATGACAAGTAATTGCTTTGGAGATAAATATCAACGGGGGTCTATGATCTATTTATTCGGTCTACACGCGATTAAACACGCCCAGATTCTCTGTGCAGCACTTTTCAGGTAATAGGCGCGACGTAAACGATTTTCTACGATGCCTCTAACGGGGCAGCTTTGTCGCACGTTTGATTCAATTACGCGACACGGTTCATTAGCGAGAGATGGTCTAACTAAGTTTGCAACGTGAATGCATGCTTCTCTCTCTCCCTCCCCCTCTCTCTCTCTCTCTCTCTCTCTCTCTCTCTCTTCCCCTTCTCCCTTTCTTTCTCTTCACTCAGTCTTAGAGAATTGCTCGCGAGTCCATGAATATCGCATGTAAGCCTTGAATCTGTTTTGCCAAGCACTTTCTACGCCGCTTACGTGCGCGACTGCGGACTATTTTAATCGAATGCTACTTGATTCTCACAACAGATCCCTTCAAACATATTTCCACGGTCCGTCAAGGGAGGAACACTTATTGTCCGTCTGATAACGGCGAAACACAAAATCTCGATCGCTTCTTGCAGTTTACCGATACGCGGGCGCGCAACAGGCTGCTTTGTAATACGCGCGAGTGTCTATCAGAACGAGCGGGCGAGTCGTTGTAAAATCGATCCTTGTTGAATCGGTCATTGAATCCGGCGAAGAGTCAAGTGTCGATAAAGCGTAAAGGCAGAGCCGATGCGAGCCGCTCATCGTGAACGCGAGCTCTCTGTGTCTTACGTGCCGCGAAAATCTCTCCTGATTAGACAATTTCAAGTCCGATGCGAGTTCCACGGCCCGGGACGATCACCACGAAACTCTTCCTGCCCGATTCCATCGATCTCGCGTAACGAGAACAAAAAACATTAAGTCGGCGTGACCGTGCGAGATTCGTCGCGCGAGATTGTAGATACTCGCGCTGTGACGACGTGACAAAGGTCGTGACACACGCGATAGCGAAGATGTTGACACATTCTCGCACCATCACCGGCTGCAAGTGCCGAGCACGAGCTCGAGACGTCGCTCCCGACGGGGGAGAGCGATTATCGGCGATCCCCGATCGACTTGTCGCTATCTTACCGCTAATCGTCGCGCTTCTCTACGTTGCAGGCCATGAAAAATGTATGTTCCACCACGATCTGGAGCTGGACCATCGGCCACCTACGCGGGAGGCGATGTTACCAGAGATGTCCCGTAGCTACAAGTTACTGTTGAGCTCCCTGGGCGAGGACCCGGAGCGACCGGGACTTCTGAAGACGCCGGAACGCGCCGCGAAGGCAATGCTCTTCTTCACGAAAGGCTACGACCAGAGTCTCGAGGGTGAGTCCTGCATTGCGTCTTCGTTGTCTCCCGACGGCTCTGATCATTCCGTCCGATTCGTCTCAGGTGTGAGATCTTGAGCAGTGGAAGTATACCGTTGCTGGTCTCGAAGACCGACATCCGTGTAAAAAAATCGGCCGGAGACACGAGGACGGTGAATTGGCAAGGCGAACTATGAATCAGCGGAATAGTGCGCGGCGCGATGTACGAATCGATCGCTGAGAGGCGATCCTTTCGGATCGCTCACGCTTTGTTCCGATCAGATCTCCTCGTCGATGATTCAACGTGCGATCTCCCGAGCGCCGCCGAATCGCGGACAATCGTTGCTGCGATAAGCGCTCGATTAACGAGCTCGACTACGAATGCTGGAATCGCGCGCTTATCGCGAAACTATCTCAGCTATTTGCCTTTCTAGCTGGTACCGAGACATTGCAAAACTAACGTGCCAGCAGCAAGTCGCCGGCTCGCTCGCTCGCTCGCTCGAAAGAAAGAAACGCGAGTAGCGAGGAGCCTTGACGCTCGGCTGATCCAAGGTTGCGCTCGAGGATCCGCGCGGTGCGAATTTTGCAAGCGGCAATTACACGCGAATTACAGTTTATCGGCTGTTGCTTAACAGCAACGGCGCAGCCCGACCGCCCGCAGCCGGATTCTGCGAATCCGACTTCCTGATGTTGTAATTGTGACCAGACGTCGTCGCGACGCTTCGCGGCTACGTGGCCGGCGGCATTGCCGAAAGAACGTTCACTCCTTAAATGTCAAGTACAGCGGTCTTGACTTTGGCTGGATCGCGGCACGTGTGCCCATTGTCGAGTACACCTTGAAACGCGTATGTTGCGCGTTCAAAATAATAACATTTTGCAACAACGCGCACGGTGTTGCTGTTGGAAGTATCGTCTCGTATTCAGGCGTCCTTTCACTGTGAGAGAAATTACCAAACGGATATTTCCGATCAATTTTTATAGCCGATCAGGATATCCGATAATAAATCGAATACTCGCGATCCATAATGATCTTCCATTAGATAAGCCAATGAAAAATTTAGAACCGATATTTAATGATCGGATATTAAAGTTGATCGGGAATATCCGTTTGATAACTTTCTATGACATAATTTTCCTTGCTGTTGGAATGTAACGCACGTGTTTCCCCAAGTGAGGATTCTGCAAAATCACTTGGAATTTCCAACTGATGTTTTCAACTGCTCCGATACTATATCATTGTCTTCTAATAGTCTTCATCTTGCTTATGATTCTGATAAGAAACTCCACATGAAACATGATATGTGTTTAGCTCCGATTTGGACGAGCTTGAAATGTGATAATTTTTAAGTAGACGAGGCCGTTGATCCAGAACAATCGTTAGAGCTGCTCCTTGTTTACTTGTTACTGTTTGTTATCACGCGCGTTTCACGTGTCGCGAGGAATATGATAGGAGTCGATTGGAGCGAGACGTGGCCTTTTGTCTTTAGCGTCTTGTCGCATTTTTGCGTTGGAATGTCGCCGTTAGCGTTGTGGCATTTGCGTTGTAAAAACTCTGTTGAGCGGTTCTGACAAGTCACGCCTGATATTAAGTAAATCTATCAGTGTGTGTAAGAAAGAAATATTTACTCAATTAATATTAACAACCTTACAAAATTTGGGGGCTTTTCCGGGATCGGGCGTGGCATCGTTGAGGACGCGCGTCGGTGTGGAGTTGTGGGACAAATTGAGTCGGTGCGAGTGGAGAGTCTGTAGATTTAAAAGGAGAAAAAGCGGAAGGTCGTGGGAAGATCGCGAATTGATAATATTGAAGTTAACTTTAACACATTGAAATCGGAGAATCGGACGGAAACAGAATAAAAATGGAGCCACCTGCTTGCTATAACGATGTCACTATCACGCAACTGAAGGAAAAACTAAAAGAATTGAAGTTACCCGTGGACGGAAACAAAGCAGAATTAATCATTAGACTAAACGAGGCGGATCCATTAGATGTATGGATTCGAGATCTTTTGAGCGTCCCAAAAGCAGCGAGCATTGACAATGCGGCGACCGGCGGAGAGGAGTCATCATCGAAAGATAGACAAATCGCTCTTCTCAGGAAAGAGGCCGAAATGCAGCGACAAGAGCAAGAGGTTCTGGAACGTGAATTCCAGGTTGCCTGTCGTGAGTTGGTGCGATTGCTGAGTGCGAGTCCTCGAAGACAAAAGAATTAACGCGGAGAAGCATCGCCGAACGTGAGCGAACGAAGTAAGAGTAAAGTTAGCGTGAAATCTGTTGCCGAGTTGCTTACTTATTTTAATGGAAATGGGACTTTCTATGAAAATTGGGAAAGGCAAGTACTATTATTAAAGACTACGTATGATCTATCGGACGATCCGACCAAAACATTGATAGGCTCCCGGTTGAAAGGAAAAGCGCTTGTTTCATTCGAAACCGCCGGAATATATCGAAAAAACGGTACCGGAACACTTGACGAATTGCGGACTATGTTTTATCATAAACCGAGCAGAGCGGAGAGAAAAAAATTATTTGAAGATCGACTTTGGAAAAAAGGCGAACCTTTCAGCGAATATTTCCATGAAGAATATTTTAGCTAACCGAATATCAATTGATGACTAAGAGATAATCGAATTATCTCTTCGTGAATATTATTGACGGCATTCCCGACTCAACCCTGCGAAATCATGCGCACATGCAGAGATTTGTGACACAAAAGGCGCTTCTTAGGCCTGTATGAAGTTAGCCCCCCACTTTTCAAATTTAATAATTTTGACAGTTGTGCTAAGTTTGTGCTACATTGTGCTCGAATTATAAAGTTTTAATACGAAAAATGAGGAAGAAAAATGGAAAAAACCGTTTTTTGGTAGCCCCCCACTTTTCAAATTTAATAATTTTGACAGTTGTGCTAAGTTTGTGCTACATTGTGCTCGAATTATAAAGTTTTAATACGAAAAATGAGGAAGAAAAATGGAAAAAACCGTTTTTTTGGTAGCCCCCCACTTTTCGATTTTCAAAATTTTTTTTATTGAGTTAGGTTGTGCTAAGTTGTGCTAACATTGTGCTAAAGTAGTATCTTCGAAAAATAATCACGAAAGAAATAAGACGAAAAAAACGATTTTAGGCAAATAGGATAAAAGTAAGATTTACACTCGTACAAGTCAACCAAACGATATCCAATTATATATCTGAGTTGTACTAGCCTAGCACAAGTCAGCACAAGTTTCGCCAGCACAAGAATCTAAAGAGCACTTTACTCTTGACCGCGGCCCTTCGCGCTCGCAATCTATACCATTAATTACTATTTCTAGACTTTGCATCGATTCAGAATTGCATATCTGAGTCGATACAAAATCTAGAAGTGGTGATTAATGACATAGACTGCGAGCGTCAAAGGCCGCGGTCAAGAGTAAAGTGTCCTTTAGATTCTTATGCTGGCGAAACTGAAACTTGTGCTGACTTGTGCTAGACTAGCACAACTCAGATATATAATTGTATATCGTTTGGTTGACTTATACGAGTGTAAATCTTACTTTTCTTCTTTTTTACCTAAAATCGTTTTATTTCTTTCGTGATTATTTTTCGAAGATACTACTTTAGCACCATGTTAGCACAACTTAGCACAACCTAACACAATAAAAAAAATTTCGAAAATCGAAAAGGGCTACCAAAAAAACGGTTTTTTCCATTTTTCTTGCTCATTTTTCGTATTAAAAATTTATAATTCGAGCACAATGTAGCACAAACCTAGCACAAATCAGCACAACTGTCAAAATTATTAAATTCGAAAAGTGGGGGGCTAACTTCATACAGGCGCTTTTTAAGGCTTTTGAGAAGATCACATTACGTCACCGATGCACGCAGGCGACGGGTGATACGCGACTCGGTACAGGCTTCTTACGATATCGAGTGCAGAACGAGTGAGAACTGAGTCTGAGAGAATAGTATATATTCCCATCTGCAACTAATATATTCTATGGCTGCTCTTGCTCTGCTCTGTTCTGTCTTTTATCCACAGGAACAATATGATTGTGTAAGCACATCAAAGGCCAAGGCATCAATCATGAATCTTTTCACATGAGAATTTTGGATTTTCTCAATTATTTAATATCTTTCCTTAGTATGAAACTATGACAAAGTGAATTGTTTTGCAGTACTTGAATGCGATCGTAAATCCTTTCCTCCAATGTAAACTTGTGAAAAGTGTACATTTCCATATATTTTCAAGATTAGATTTTTCACTTTTCACGAGTTCACATTTCTGGAGTTCACAATTCTGAATTTTCTCAATTATTTAATATCTTTCCTTAGTATGAAACTATGACAAAGTGAATTGTTTTGCAGTACTTGAATGCGATCGTAAATCCTTTCCTCCAATGTAAACTTGTGAAAAGTGTACATTTCCATATATTTTCAAGATTAGATTTTTCATTCTTCACGAGTTCACATTAGGTGAAAAGATTCATGACCGACCCTTTGGGCACAAAGATTGTCGCAATCGTTTCCGACAGTATCGCAGACATAAGTCGGTGTCGGAAGTCAACGCACAAGAATTGACGTAGACGTATGCTACATCAATTGTGTCGTCCGACGCAGTCATATTGTTCCTGTGAATAAAAGACAAAACAGATCAAAGCAAGAGCCATAAAATATATTAGTTGTAGATGGGAATAGATACTACTTCCTCTCACTCGCTCTGCACTCGATATCGTAGGCAC